CCCCCCGACCCTATGCATTCGGATGCATCTGCCCTATGGCTGCCTTTCTCCTCTGGGGCAATAGCCCTACAAGGCCTTATAATGTTTGCCCTTCACCTTGCCCTTGCCCTCCCTGGTCATCTTGTACAAGTCTTCCTCTGCCCTCTGCACCCCAGGCTCTTTCATCTGTGTTCAGTTCCCTCCTCGGATGTGCCACCTTGGGGATCATTTTTCACTGGCTATGTCTTCTGCACAGAGCCTCTGTCCCGCCCTCTTATTCCGAGATCCTTTCCTGAAAGTATATTTTAGGCATACTCACTCTTAATTGTGAAATGTAAAACTTAGATTTTTACTAGGAGAAATGAATAAAATATATTTAGACATTCACTTGAGGCAGGATATTTTTGAGCAAAGACACAAAAGAACACAAAAATATTTATAAAATATGTAAATATTTATAAAAATAATATAATATACAAATATTTACAAAAATATTCATAACTTCAGTTGCATTACATTATATCTTTGCACCTCAAAATACACCACAGAACAGGAAAGGGTAAGTTACAGACTGGGAGGAGGTATGAGGGATGGAAACCAGTGAGGAAGAGTTAGTGTGACAGGCCCTTCATGGTCACCAAATCCCCAGGCTCCTCTATGATTCCCAGCCTCGCTTGCAGTTGGAGGGTGGGGGACCTATGAGCAGGTTCCGAACAATGCCATGTGGGTAAAAATCATGTAAGCCAATTGCAAGCCTTGCCCTTAAAATTTTCCTGTGGCAGGCACTGTGTTGGGGTTCCCCAAGTACACGCCCATGTTTGGACATTCCCTGCAGGGACTCGCATGGGAGATCCAGGAGCCAGCCCAGGTACTCAGAGACTCCACCAAACGGAAACAACTGCCCTTGAAGACCATCAGGGAAACATATGCACCTGGACCCCACGCCTAACCCCTTCTGGGTGGGTGCCCCAGACCCTGTAGAGGGTGGAACAGAGGAGAGGAGAGGAAATCATTCTAGACCTTGCCTGGGCTTCTCTCAAGTTGCTGCAGTAACCCTGCAAATATCCTGAACAAGAATCCTGTTTCCCAGGTCTCCGGCCTTTCTGCCAATGAGCAGCAAGCTGCCCCTTTCCTGCCCTGACACAGATGTGGTCATGGATTTCTTCGGGTGCGCTGTCCAGGAAGCAGGCAGGGCCTGGGGACATGTGGGGGGTTTCTTTTCTGGAAATGGCAGGCCTCAATGTAAAGAATTTTGTATGTAGTTTGAGAGGCCCCATCTCCAGCTACCCAGTCTTCACTCACCCTAATGCCATTGTCACTTAGAACTTTTACCCCCTGGTCTCACTGATGGAGCAAGTAGTGACACCTCCACCTGAAGAATATTTCCATGATGGAATTATTCTCTGGTGTGGACAGAAGCTAGACTCAGGCCAGCAGCCCTTCTTTCTGGACCACAGAGCATTGAGGAGGGAGACGGGTGTTGCTGATAATTCTGCACCTATAGGCCTTCACTTGATGACCTTGACACGTAAGCCCTAGGCTTCTGAGACTTGGCACAATACCCCTGAGCACATGGCTGTACCCCCCCACCTCTTGGGACACGTTTCCTTGTTTTCTTCTTCAACCTTCAGGACGTTCTCTGTCCTCTAGTTCTTTCCACCTCACCACTCAGACAATGAAAGATGCGTTTAAACCAGAACTGCCCCATTTTCTACAAGCCAGATACTAATCGCCGAAATTCAATTGTGAGTTCTGTCAGAGGTGTGTGTGTTTGAAGACTGAGAAGCTCTGTTCAATTTTGTATTATTGTTACTGTATCTACTCCGGTATTTTCAGGGATAAGGGAGTTCTCCACCTTTCCCAGGTAAGATTTATTCCATCGGTGGCCTAGAAGTTCAGGCAGCTCCTGGACGAAGGCTTTGGTGTGCAATGCACCGTGGACATTGGTGGAAGCAAAGAGGAAACTGGTCTTTGACCCTCAGACAGAATATTTCCAAGTCCAATCTATGCTCAGGGCATCATTTTATCTCTCTGTCTTCAAGTGTGTCAGTTGGTTCCTTGTGTTTCTAGGATAAAGCTGTGGCAATGACCCCAGCTCCCACCATGGCCAAGCTCATGTGACTGGGAGAATGGAGAACCTCATGAAGGAGAAACGTCCAAAGAGAAGGATCATCACAGATGACACAGGGGTCACTAACTGGTATCACAAACTTGAGTCGCAGTGACTCATCCGGGTAGAAACATCCGGCAGAGAGTTAGAGGATGGTGACGGGAGACGCAGAGATGAAACGGGAGATCCAGTCAACCTGTCAAGCCTGGAGCAGCGGGCGACGGGCACTTGGGCGAACTTACACCCCGTCTATGAATATGGTGAAGACACTTGTAGGTATGTTCGTTCATAACAATTGGTTTTTAAGGCTGGGCATTTGTGGAGACAGTGATGTCACTATGGGGACTGCCTTGTGGGGACAAAGAGACATCCCTCCTCCTCTGCGCATGCTCACAAGGACCCTGACCTGTGACCCTCCCACCCCTGTCCTGACCCTGCCATGGGCACCAGGCTCCTCTGCTGGGTGACCCCCCCGTCTCCTGGGGGCAGGTGAGTCCTAAGAACACCAAGATCTCTGCATTTTATCTTTCCAGTAATTACGCCAATCGTTTCCCATTTCCTTTGTCTTTCCCCCCAACAGAACTCACAGCAGGAGGGGTTCATCCAGTCCCCCAGACATAAGATCATAGAAAAGAGTCAGGCCGTGGCTTTGTGGTACAATCCGGTTTCTGGCCACCAAACCCGTTACTGGTACCGGCAGACCCCGGGCCAGGGCCTGGGGCTGCTGGTTCGCTTTGAGAAGATATAATGGATGATTCACAGTTGCTGAAGAATCGATTTCCTGCAGAGAGGCCCAAAGGAGCAGACTCTACTCTCAAGGTCCTGCGCAGAGCTGGGGGACTCGGCCGTGTGTTTCTGCGCCAGCAGCTTAGCCACAGCAGGGCAGGGACACTCCCTTGCTGTGCACAAAGCATCGGGGCTCTCCTGTCCCTATTCCACTCACAGCAGCTCCGACACCCTGGCCTTGCTCCTCCTGCCTGGGCAAGCAGCGGCTCTGCAGACACAAGCTACGATTCAGATGAGGCCAGGAATTCCTTTTTTTTAAAAAAAAAATATATATATATATATATCTTTATTGATTTCAAAGAGAGGAAAGGAGAGGGGGAGAGAGAGTATGAATTATTTCTTGAAACATTAGGACTCAAAACGTTTGAAAGCAATGATGACTTACGGGTGTGAAGCTCTTTTTGGTGACCATTCAAGGATGCAACACTGAAAGTGACTTATCTATCCCGGCCCAGGCCCGGGGGCTAGTAGTGATGGTTGTTGTCTTCTAAAAATATGCAGTCACCAAAAACGTGTAATAAACTTCAATCGTAATCCGGATGGTGATTCTAGGAGAGTAGCCAACAGCAGGCTGTCCTCCTGTGGTTGCTTTTACCACCTAAATGATTTTAATTGACACCCTTCGCTCTCTAGCTTCCTCTCTGCCTTTCTTAGCAAATTTTCTGCATCAAGGTCTCCATACACAGCACGTGTCTGGAAAACATCTTTTTTCCCTGTTTCGTGGCAATGTGCTGGTAATAATGGTGGTGTTGGTGGTGATGGTGATGATCTCCACTATTTTATTTAGCGCCTTCCCACTTCAAAGGAATACACAGAAATGTATTCAAAACCGAGCCTCCTTTCTGCAGAGTGGCCTCCCTCTCCGGTGGAACCAGCACAGCTCAACACTGTGCCTAGGCCAGAGCCAGCCAGTTCAGAGGCTGTTGAGGACATTTCCAGCCCTCTGCCTTAGGGTGTTACAATAGGTCCTTAAGGCATTTAAATACCTCCTAGCAAAGGCTTCTGAAACAACCCATTGCCCCAGTCTCGTGGTCGCATCTGACAGCACGCTCTGCGTGTGGAGGCCGCACCCGGGACCCTAACTTCTCCTGGGCCCTGGGCCCAGAAGGCATCCTGAAGCTCTGCCTCCAACTATTTGGGAGCAGGGCACCGAGATTTTCCTGAAGGTATTATCATGGCCGCTCGGGCCCTGCTGGCTTCACCTCCTGTCCAGCTAAGACTGCATGTCGCTAGATATGTCCCTTAACTCACTTCTATCGCCACCTCCTCTGCCCTGCCCAGGTCCCCACCCAAGGGACTTGTCTGCCAAACCTCCGTCATTGTCGAGCACGACCATCTATCCAGCAGTTTTACGTGTTGTTTCCAATCCGCTCTGCCACACGTAACTAATCCCCTAATAACATTTTCCTAGATTATCTCTGATCTCTTTAATCGCAGGAAACAGTGGTTTCAGAGCCTGATGGTTTTCACATCTCACATCTCTGTGGGGCTGTTTTCTGCTGCTTCTCAGTCATGATGTTTGCATTTTCACGGTGTTTGTACTTTTTCTTATGAATCCGATGATCTTTGCCTTTGTGCCAGGCACTGGGATTTTATATATAATTTATTTTTTTGGTCTAGGGTAAATGGATCTTTCTCCAAAGAGAATTTTATTTTGCTTCTGCCAAGTGCAGGGGGTTTAAGTGAGCTGGGGCTGCCTGAATTAGAATTCAAGACCGAAGGAGTCCTGGATCAGCTGGAGAACACACTTACCTCTAGATCATCTGTACATTGAGTTTGTTGATGTTCCCTGTTTGGTACTTTCTGGTCTTTGACCTTTGACCTTTGACTCTGTCCTGTTAGTCAGCTCCATGAGCACTGAGTCGGAGGTAGACCAATGCCCTTGGAGGTAGACCAATGACCTTGGACTTAGACTAATGCCCCCAAGGGCACAGGGGTGGCTGTGCCCTTCCCTAGGCACTCAGCCTCTCCAAGATCCCAGCCTACTGTCCCTCACCATATTTTTATGACATTAAATAATTAAAGTTTTTGATGTTACTTCATTCAACTATTTAGATAATAAAGAAGGGTTGGTTTGAGTGCTCTCATTTGTAATTACTAAGATTAAAGTGAAAAGAATTTTATGTGGAATTTAAAATAAAAAATAATGTCAAATTCTTAGTCTATATCTCTTTACTATTTAACTTAAATGACATAGAGATGTATACATCAACTTTAATTTCAACCAAACACTTTTTAAAAAATATGTATTTTTATTGATTTCAGAGCAAGAAAAGGAGAGCGGGAAGAAATAGAAACACCAGTGATGAGTCATTGATCAGCTGCCTCCTGCACGCCCCCTACTGGGGATCAAGCCTGCAACCCGGGCATGTGCCCTGACTGGGAATCGAATCCAGGTCTCCTGGATCATAGATTGATGCTCAACAGCTGAACCACACCGGCTGGGCCCAAAACGTTTTTAAAAACTTAAAGGGTATTTGTTCATAATCAAACTGAGATAGTTATTTGTTTTCATCATTTCATTATTGGAGTTATGATTTTTTTTTTACTCCTGTTGCATAACCTCTGGCATTCCATTGGACTATGTGACAAGATGGGAACTAAAATAGGGAGTGAATATTTAGACTTGGTCAGAGAGTACAGCACAGACTTGGAATTCATTGAATTGCTGTTGCGACACATTTGTGCTTTTTAAGTGAGTATGCCGAAGGACAAGTGGTTGGATCTGGGTACAGTAATTGATATATGGCTTCTGTGTTTCCCCTAAAACCCAATCTCATGGGAAAACACTTAATTCCACGTTTTCCATTTTGGGAGCCTTCCCTGGAGTAATCTTCCTGTTCTGATTTTCCTGTTCCTTGTTGAATTTCCTCCATGGGAAGGCAAATAAATTATTTTATTTAATCTATTCATGTTACTTCAGTCTTGCTTTCTTCCCGGCTACCTAGAGAAGAGACATATTAGATTCTTTGGTGTTTTCTCAGCATGCACTAAGATTAGTGGGCAACTCTCTTTTCTTACAGGGTCCACCTGCAGTTTGGAGGGGAGGGAAATGAGCTAAGTTTGGATTGAGTATAGTGTTGCTTACCAACGTTAATATTGACATTATCATCTCCATGTCCGACTCCAACCTCCAACTCTCACATGGTTCCATCTCAGGCTCTAATAATACAATTTTATTTTAATAATACTATCTAACACCAACAAATCATGATGCTTCATAACCCCTGTACTCAATGAAACAAAGCACCCCTCCCCCTCACATCCTGTCAAGACAGCAGGTTTGTGCTGTTTCTGCCACCGGCCACTAGGAGGCACTGTGGCTTCATAGTTTCGTACAGAATCCCTAGCGAGGTTCTTTTCAGAGGGTTGAGGGAAACCCTGCGGTGGGGCTTAGATTCAGGGAGCTGCAGATGTCTTGAGTGGGGGCAAGAATGAAGAAATTAGAGACCGAGCCTTCTTGCTCCATTGCTGTGGAGATGGGTTTTGCTCTAAATTGAGCTCTGCTTGCAGGGGCCGTTCCTCCAAGTTTGCTTAATTTGTGCAGCACAGGGAGTTGGGTGGAGAAGCTTGCACATTCTGGGAAAAGCAGACATGCAGTTTGAGTGTCAGAGGAGCCTTAGTGAGCCTGGCCCAAACCAGCCGGGCCAGTCCACCTGCCCTGTTGTTCTGCAGAGGGGAAGCAGGGAGAAATGCCAGTGCTACGCCGGACCACATCAGAGGGACCCTGGCCCCAGGGAGCTGACAATCACAGTGACACCGCCAGCAAATCCACTCATCAGGCAAGGACTGGGGTGCGCCAGATCAACAGAATTTCTTCCCAAGAACTTGTGTTGTTAGCAGGAAGATGTCACAATGCAATTCTGAATTTTCCAGTCACCCCACGCTCCCTCGTGTCCCTTGGAAGCTTAGGAGGCCTGGGCAGAGACAAGGTCTGTTTTGGGCTTCCCTTGGCCGGATTCCAAGTTCCTTCCATGTGACTGTGTGCCTGTCTACCCCCCGGATCATGTACTGCATCTCGTTCCTGCCTCTTTCACCCATGGGCACTGAGTCCCATGGATACTGTAATGTAGTAGATGCCTATTGCTGCTCTAACAAATGACCACACATTTTGTGGCTCAAAACAACACAAATGTATTCTTTTACCGTTCCGAAGATCTGAAGTCCAACATGGATCTGACTGGGTTAACATAAAGGTGTTGGCAACACTGCATTCCTTCTGGAGGCTCTAGGGGCGCCTTTTTATTGCCTTTTTCAGCTCCTAGAGGTGGCCTGAAGCCCTTGGCTCATGGCCCCTTCCATCTCCAAAGCCTGCAGTAACCAGCTGAATCTTTTCTTACGCTCCAGCACTCTGACCCTTCTTCCTCTCCCTTCCACATTTTAGGACCCTTGTGGTCCCGTGTGGCCCACCGGGGAAATCCAGGCTAACCTGCCTATATTAAGGTCGGCTGGTTAGCCACCTTAGTTCCATTTGGAACCTAAATCCCCCCTTGCTATATAAGAAAACTCATCCCCAATGCCCGGGATTAGACATGGGCATCCTTGGGGCTCCATCATTCCGCCTCCCACCCCTAGGTGCCTGGTAACAGGCGAGCAACAATGATCTTTTTGAAAACAGACTAATGGTCACAGTTGTGTGTCCTGGGTTCAACAGTAACCAAAGAGATAAACCCAACAAGGGCAGTAGGTCCATTGGGTCACATCGTCTAGGCTGCAAACTCTGCTTTTTAAAATTGGCCTGTGCCCCCCAGTTTGGGAGCCTCAGCAGCAGGTCTCTGTGCTAACCACAGAACACGGACTTAAACGGGACCTTCTCCTTGGTTAACATGCGAGTTAATTGATACAACTTTTTAGGCCAACCCAAGAAAGAAACAGGTTTCTCTCAGCTCCCCCCGACCTCTGCCATGAGAGGAAGTGGGCTTGCGGCATCCCCCCCTCTTACAGGGAAAGGGCCATGTGCTAACGACGAAAGCCACTGAGCTTTTCTAGGAGTGAGAATGGGATTTAACTCAACGGCAGATTTGCTTGCAAATCTTCAAGAATAACAAAACCCTGTGCTTATTTCCCAGGACAGGGGTGAGAAATAGAATTATATGCTATGGGCCCTGAGAATTTAAGAGAACTCAAAGGTAAATCAAGTCAGAGAGGTCTTTCCCCGCAAATAAGAGCGTTCACATTCAGTTCTCGGGGCATGAATTCAGCCCCGAAGCCCTGCCAGTGCAGGAGATAGTCTCGCTTTTCATGCAGAGCGTAGAGCCCACCTCGTAGGCGCCTGATGGGTGATTTTGAGTGTGTATGTGACCAGCAGCATCGGGCCACCAAGGAGAGGCGTGTGAGCTTCAGAGCAGCGGGCTTGCGAAGAGACAGTGAATTCCTCTTTGAACACTTGGAGTTGGGGATTCAAACGGAGATGGTTGGCAGGCTCGATATAAAATAGAGTATAGAGGAGGCATTATGCGGGCGTAATACCGGCAGGGAGCCTCTAGCTGCAGGAACCTGTAGCCCAGGCCAGTTACAGCTGAGCCCAGTGCTGCTGGATTCCTCCCCGAGAGACGCAGCCTTCTTCTGGGAAGGGAGCTCCTGCCTTGGGGTGGGGGGGTGGATCATTCAGCGATGTCCCTCACAGAAGCCTCTTGCAGAGATAAAATACCCCAAAATGCACGTCCCCGCTCATGCTCACAAGGGCCCCAGGCAGGGTTATTCCACGTCTCCCACACTTTGTCATGGGAACCCGGGCCCTCTGCTGTGAGGCCCTTTGGCTCCTCAGAGGAGGTGAGTTCACAAAATATTTAGCCACCTCATGCTAGGTTGCTCTACCACGACACCACATAGAGGTAGGTTTACATCTGCTGACATGTAGAACAATTCACATATTTTGTTACATTTTACAAGTTACAAGATAATGCGTAGAGGGTGTGTTTATTTTGATAAAAACAAAAATGATGTCTTCTCTATGTGCCATTTTTACTATAAATTCACATGCAGGACGAATCTATGGAAGGTTATAGATCAAGATCTTCTTACTGGTAATTTAAGAAAGTGGGATTGGAGGAAGGCCAGGGCGGGTGATGTGTAGCTTTGTGTTAGATATAAATTTGCCTCACTTATTACCACGCTAGTCTGTAAAATATTCCTCCCCCAAATTCTTCCAGGGCATGGGAGATCTTAAAAAAAAAAAACAGGAAAATTCTCAGATATGAAGAAAAGAGTGGTGCAAAGCCAGAGCAGTAAGCGGTGGCTAAAATCAGAGAGATGCCTGGCTTTTATCACCAGAGAGAGCCCGCGGAGCTGGGGCCACATCCCAGGATGGTTATGACCTATTTCCGGTGATCTCTCTGGTAGAAGAATGTTTACCTTTGCGAGGCTTTCCAATGAGCAGTGACAGGGAGCANCCGGTGATCTCTCTGGTCGAAGAATGTTTACCTTTGCGAGGCTTTCCAATGAGCAGTGACAGGGAGCAATGTCACTGCCAGGCCACTCTCCACCTTGTGGAGACCAGAGGAACGGAAGCCCTGCCCCTCTGTTCCTGCCCATAAGGCCTCCTCTGGCTGAAGCCTCCTGCGGCCCCAGCCTGCCATGGCCACCAGGCTCCTCTGCTGCGTGGCCCTTTGTCTCCTGGGAGTAGGTGAGTCCCCAGAAAGGAAGAATCTGCAATTTTGGATAGTCCCAGTTCTGATTCCATTTACATTTCTTATCCTGTTCCCCAACTCTGTCCACTTCCACAGAGCCCACCCCTGCTGGAGTCACTCAGACACCCAGGCACGTGGTGACAAAGAAGGGAGAACACGTAACTCTGCTCTGTGAGCGCATTTCGGAGCACACTTACCTGTACTGGTACAGACAGAGCTCTCTGCAGGGACCTCAGTTTCTGGCTTCCTTCCGCAATAAAGAGCCTCTGGACAAATCAGGGCTGCCCCAGGAGCGATTCTCGGCCAGGATGCTCAGTGAGTCTCTCTCCTCTCTGGAGATCGAGCCGGCGGAGCCCGGGGACTCGGCCCTGTTCCTCTGCGCCAGCAGCTCGGCCACAGCGCTGCAGAGCCGGGGCCTGGCTGTGCACAAAGCCTCCCCGCCCCCCGCCGCAGGCCCCGGGAGAGTCTTCCTGTCCCTCTAGGGGGGAAATGAGTGTGTCAGGGGCATGACCAGGGCACAATGATTCGGAATCGGTGGCCCTGGCCTTCAAGATGGAAACGGTGCAGCATGCAATTTCTACTGTGTTAGGCCAGGGGAGCATCTGCCTCTATCTGAACTCAGAGCGCCCTTTGTCCCCCCGGGTCCCCCCGCGGCCCCCAGATGTGCTCCTCTCCCCCCTTGCACACCCAGCCCCCCACACGGGGCCTTAGAATAGTGCCCGTGGCTGCTCCCTGGCTTCTTCACCATCGGGTCTCTCCTCAGTCACTTCTCCCCACTGCTAATCCTGCATCACCAGTGACGGCATCGTCACGCAGACAATTTCTACATGGCTTTGGCCTCTCAGTCTCTTGACCTCCTCACTTTCAATAAGTCTTTTACCTCCAGTCTTTTCCAGGTGCACGTCCATGATCGCAGGCCATGGAATAAACGACAAATAATCTCCTTCCAAGCCTCCCGTTTCAGTCACCACCTCCTCCTAGGCCTCGCTCCTTTCTTTCCCCCTCACTCACTCAGCACCATCCTCCCCCCATGGTCCTGGGCCTGGCTCTCAGTCCACATACCGAACAGCTTTTAAACTCCCATGTTCTTTTTTAAAACTATTTTATCCATTGATATTTTTGGACAGAGAGAGGGGGACGGTAGGAGAGAGAGAGAGAAATAGAGAGACAGACAGACAGACAGACATGGATTTGTTGTCCCACTTTTGCATCCATTGGTTGATTCTTGCAAGTGCCCTGGCGGGGTGGGAGCTCGGCCTTGGCCTAGTGGAGTGATGCTCCAACCAACTGCGCCGCCCGGTTAGGGCCTGAAGCTGCCAGTCTTCATGCTCACGTTGCCTAAACCAGGTTAAGTTTTAAGACTATAACGTCAGCCCTGAGGACTCCAGCTCTCTCCGGGCACCTGTGAATGGCAAAGGGGGCTTTCCTGGATGCACCAAGAGCATTTTCACAGCGATCGGGACACAGCCCCTAGCCTCAGCAATTCCCTGACAGCCACTGAAGAGCCCTCCACTGAGCCACCGGGTGAGCACAGGGAAAGGGACTGGCCAACAGAACAGCCTGCCTACAGTAACAGGATGCATTTCCTCAACCTGGTGTATTGGTGTCTTTTGTATTAAATACCAGGAACTTTGTGACCAGATGATAACTAAATAATAAAGCTCAAATATATGATCTGATCCTGTTTATGGGAAAACATTTATATCAATAAATAAAGCAGTCAAATAGAGGTAGGTTTACATCTGCTGACATGTAGAACTACTCACCTATTTTGTTAAATTTTAGAAGTTACAAGATAATGCATAGAGGGTGAGTTTATTTTGATAAAAACAAAAATGATGTCTTCTCTATGTGCCATTTTTTACTACAAATTCACATGCAGGATGAATCTATGGAAGGTTATAGATCAAGATCTTCTTACTGATAATTCAAGAAAGTGGGATTGGAGGAAGGCCAGGGCGGGTGATGTGTAGCTTTGTGTTATATATAAATTTGCCTCACTTATTACCAAGTTAATTTGTAAAATCTTCCTCCCCCAAATTCTTCCAGGCCATAGGAGGTCTTAAAAAGAAACAGGAGCCCGGCCGGGCGTGGCTCAGCGGTTAAGCATCGACCTAGGATCCAGGCGATCAGGGCACATGCCCGGGTTGTGGGCTGCAGCCGATCAATGACTCTCTCATCATTGATGTTTCTAGCTTTCTCTCTCCCTCTCTTTTCCTCTCTCTGAAATCAATAAAGATATATTAAAAAAAAAAAAAAACAGGAAAATTCACAGATGTGAAGAAAAGAGTGGTGCAAAGCCAGAGCAGTAAGCGGTGGCTAAAATCAGAGAGATGCCTGGTTTTTATCACCAGAGAGAGCCCGCGGAGCTGGGGCCACATCCCAGGATGGTTATGACCTATTCCTGGTGATCTCTCTGGTTGAAGAATATTCACCTCTGGGAGGAGGTCCTGTGAGTAGTGACAGGGAGCAATGTCACTGCCAGGCCACTCTCCACCTTGTGGAGACCAGAGGAACGGAAGCCCTGCCCCTCTGTTCCTGCCCATAAGGCCTCCTCTGGCTGAAGCTTCCTGCGGCCCCAGCCTGCCATGGCCACCAGGCTCCTCTGCTGCGTGGCCCTTTGTCTCCTGGGAGTAGGTGAGTCCCCAGAAAGAAAGAATCTGCAATTTTGGATAGTCCCAGTTCTGATTCCATTTACGTTTCTTATCCTGTTCCCCAACTCTGTCCACTTCCACAGAGCCCACCCCTGCTGGAGTCACTCAGACACCCAGGCACGTGGTGACAAAGAAGGGAGAACACGTAACTCTGCTCTGTGAGCCCATTTCTGGCCATACCGCTGTTTACTGGTACAGACAGAGCTCTCTGCAGGGACCTCAGTTTCTGATTTCCTTCCTCAATGAAGCTCCTCTGGACAAATCAGGGCTGCCCCAGGAGCGATTCTCGGCCAGGATGCTTAACAAGTCTCTCTCCTCTGTGGAGATCGAGCCGGCGGAGCCCGGGGACTCGGCCCTGTTCCTCTGCGCCAGCAGCTCGGCCACAGCGCTGCAGAGCCGGGGCCTGGCTGTGCACAAAGCCTCCCCGCCCCCGCCCGGCTCCGGCTCCGCAGCCCGGGACGCAGCAGGCGTGCGCTGGGTGTTGTCACCCTCCCCGCGGAGCACAGGAGCGGAAACCACGGACAGCGTCGCGTAAGGAACCTTCTGCTAAGAGAGCTTAGCGGCCGGTAGCGGGCATCCCGCGAGCGTATTCTCACAAAGGGCGGCTGGGTTCAAGGCCGAGGGTTCGCGTCCCTGCTGAGCTCTCACGTGATTCGGCTTAAAACTGCGAGGCTGGTGCTGCACAAGGACCGTTACCGGGGCCGGCTAATCTCAGCTCGCGACTGGGAGGCCTCGGCCCCGGCCTTCAGCGTCCAGCCATGAAACGGTGTCGGGGCTGCACCCCCAGATCGGCTCAGCCTTTCCCACCCTTCATATGATAAGTTTTCCAAATTGTGTTCCCAATTGTCACAAAACGCTTTTTCACACTTTCAGGCATTCTCCTTTTTTTCAACTTATTATTTGAAAATAATTGTAGATTCACAGGACGCTGCTAAGTTAAACAAAGGGGCCCAGGGTATCCTTCATCCTCTTTCCACCACTGGTTGCATCTTCCACAATTATACTAAAATATCAAGACCAGGAAACTGACATGGGCACTAAGTGTGCAAGCAGCTCTAAGTCACTTTTATTGTTGATAGTATTACAGATGTCCCCCGTTCCCTCCCCTTTGCCCCCCTCCACCCAGCCCTGCCCCTCCCCAGGCCTTTACCACATTTTTGTCTGTGTCCATGGGCTATGCATATATGTTTTTTGGTTGATAATTTCCTGTCCCCTCTAACCCCCTCCCCTCTGAGATCGGACAGATCTCACAGTTTTTATTCAAGTCAAGATACAAAACAATTGCAACATCTCAAAATCTCCCCAACAAACCACACACACACGCACACACACAGCATCCCTAACCCCTGGGGACCAATAATCTATTCTCCATATCTATAATGTCATTTTAAGAATGTTTTAGGTTCAATTGCTGATCTTTTTTTTACTCAGCATATTGCCCTTGAGTTGGTCTGAGTTGTTACATTTATCAATAATTCTTGCTTGTTTTATTTTATTTTATTTTATTCTATTATTTTATTTTACTTTACTTTATTATTTTATTTTATTTATTTTATATTTTATTTTATTTTATTTTATTTTATNATCAATAATTCTTGCTTGTTTTATTTTATTTTATTTTACTTTATTATTTTATTTATTTTATTTTATTTTATTTTAATTTTATTGCTGAGTAGTATTGCACATTGTGGATGTGCCAAAGTCTGTTCAGCCACTCACCCACTGGAGGACGTTTTGGTTGTTTCTATTTTTTTACTATTACAAGTGGCTATGTATAAACATTTGTGTACAGGATTCTACGTGGACATAAATTCTCCTTTGGGATACATTTATGCTCTGGGGTGAGATTGCTGGGTTGTATGGAAAACATATTCTTGTTTTTTAAAGACACGACCCGATTATTTTCCAGTATGGCTGTAGCATTTTACATTCCTAGAGATTCACTTTTAATACTAGTTATTTTGACTTGCATGTAACATTCCACTTTTTCATTTCCAAAACACACATACAGATAACCAGAAAGGTAGAAACACTGGAGACCCAGATACGCTTTTCTCTAGATGTGTTCGAACTCTCCATAAATATTCGAATCCTTTCCATCCCTTCTCTAACTGGGGGTCTGCCTGTCCAAGGCAGCCATCGCTGGACACCGTGTCACCTGTCCTAGAAAGCCACCTGGTTCATCAAAACAGCACCCAAGGGACATCTTAGTTAATGCACATAATTAAACAAAACATGCCCTGGGCATCTATTATGTCGCAGGAACCTTTTAAGGCCTTAGATTTTGTTCTAAGAGTATGAAAATTCTTGACCCCTCCCCTCCCCTCTCAACCGGCTGCAGCCCCAAACCATGTCCTCTGCTGCCCTCCGGCCCAAGGAGGAAGAGGGGGAAGGACCAGAATTAACTCTTGAAATGCAAGAGTACCCGTGATCCATTTGTGAGCTGCGGGGTTTCTGGGGCTCCTTACACAGAGCTCAGTCCGTCGTTTCTGTTTGGGGGGGTGTTACCCGGGTGGAAAGCACGGTGTGATTCTTGCCCACCTCACCGCTCTGATCTGAGAGGAANCCGTCGTTTCTGTTTGGGGGGGTGCGTTACCCGGGTGGAAAGCACGGTGTGATTCTTGCCCACCTCACCGCTCTGATCTGAGAGGAACTGTGACTCCGATTGCGGCCGCGTGGTCATGTCCTTTCTCACCGTAGTTTAAATACGTCTCCCTGATGAGAGAAAAAGTGAATAAAAACGCATTTATTGCTGGTGTNGAGAGAAAAACAGTGAATAAAAACGCATTTATTGCTGGTGTGTAGGTTGCTCCCCGACAGTGGCGGCAACCTCGGTGATAAGTTTGCTGCCTTTGTCGGCACAAATCCATTTCCGAGTACGTTTTTAAGCCTCATTTTTGAGTGGACTAGCTGGGTCAGTGAGTGCAGATTAAAGCTCATTTTTCTTTCTCCACCGGGTCTGGTTTTTAAATGGAAAAGACGTGGGTTAGCAGGATACGTTGAGATGTGTCGGCCAGCCCTGCATGCTTCTGAGGCCAGCTCCAGGTGTCGCAGGGCCGTGTTGTTTTCAGTGAGCCTCGCCAGTGCCCCGTGTTGTGCTGGCCTGAGGGCTATGGCTCTAGGAGGAGCAGAACAACGTCACCCCAATAAATTCTATAATTTTAAAAAAATCAGGGAGTAGGTACTTTTCCAAGCCCTCTTGTGTCTCTGGCCAGATTGCTCAGATCTCTTGGGCAGAGGAGGAAGGCTGCTCTAGACCCTGTCCTGCTGGCCACCAGGAGGCATTACTGTGACACCGATTGCCATTTGTCGTGGAGGATTTCCTCGATAGGCTCTGAAAAGTGGAGGAAGGCAGAGGGGTCCCAGGGCTGCATTTCTGTATTAGAGTGGCTGGCAGACACCTTTCACCCATCAGAGACGTGCATAAGGAAATAAAGACATTATCTCAACAGGTTTATGAGCGAGGCTTGAGCAAAAGCTGCTCATGTGCTGGGGGGCCTCTGAACTGCTCTACAGGATGCGAGCGACGAGGGGTGAGACGGAGAGGCCGGGATGAAAGTGGGGAGATACAGGAAGAGGGACAGATAAGAAGATGCCACATCTGCTTCATACCTGACCCAGCCAGGCCCAGGCCCCCCTGCCAAGTAGGAAACCGTGTAGAATATCCCAAGAGGTGACCCTTGCGCTGGTGACATCAACAGCAGCCCTGTCATCTCAGGCGGTTCCACCTATCAGGGACCAGGGACTCAGGGCTCCCACCTCTCCACCCAGAGCTCAGAGTGTGGGACAGACGGGGGCCCCATTCGTGTCCTGGCCCTGCCATGGGTCACAGGCTTCTCCACTGTGTGGCCCTGTGTCTCCTTGGAGCGGGTGAGTCCTGGTCAGAAGGACATTTTTGATTAAAGCTATCACGTCCTCAGTTCTGTGCCTTTCTTTGATGACAGCCACATCAGTCTCCCGCCTGACTCTGCCTCTAAGTGTTTCTTCCCTTTCTGCAGGTCACGCAGGGGCCGTGGTCATCCAGAACCCGAGATACCAGGTTACCATCGTGGGACAGCCAGTGACCCTGAATTGCTCTCAGGACCTGAATCATGACGCCATGTACTGGTACCAACAGAAGCTGAGCCAAGGCCCCAAGCTGCTGTTCTACTACTACGGTCAGGAATTTAACAACGAAACAGACACCTCGGGCAACTTCCAGCCCAGCCGCACTGACTCCTTCTCTTCCCTTGGCATCCGCTCGCCGGGCTTGGGGGACTCCGCCGTGTACCTCTGTGCCAGCAGCAGAGACACAGAGCTGGAGCGTCGCCTCCCCTCTGCTCACAAACCTGCTTCCAGCTCCGAGAGCCTCTCGCCACCTCCTGCCCTCCCGCGACCGCAGGAAGTGGGCTGGTGTCGCCTTTATTCCTTTGCAGATGGGAGTCGGGCATAAACCTACAGAAGCCGTCGACGGTTATGCCAAAAGTGCAAAAGTGGTTACACTCACCTGGCATTCAGTCTGTGGTGTTTTCCCAGAATCGCTTTAATCACCCATTCTGTTCTCTTCGGTAGAAAAATAGGAACTTTTTTATTTTAATTTTTTTTTTAATCTAAGTTGGAGACTTAGCAATGTGTTGAAGGGCAGGCCCAGGCAAGAAGCGGACCCCTCCCATGAATCTTCTCCCTGAGGAGAAGAAACTGCCCTCCTGGGCACGCTGAGGCCACCTCACGGGTTTCTTATCAAGTCAGGAAAATCAGACCTGCTGAGAACTTGTTGCGGATTGAAAGGCACGCGCATTATTCATAACACTTTAAACTCTTTTGCCTGATATAAATCTAGGAACCATTTCTTTTTAAGTGGCACAGATAGGACGTGTATCAAAAGCTAGATGTGGGGCTTTGGAAGATACATTAAAATTAGAGATATATCAGACTTACTAGAGTTTGCTCTACATGCATTTGTTCAGGTCCTCCAAGAAGTAGATGCCAAACCCGGGTAAGATAATGCCTGTGAGAGAAAATGGAAGGAAACCCAGGAGCCTGGGGAGAACCATCAGCCCACGATGCAGATCTGACCCCCGTGAGGAGACAGGGAAGGAAGGAAAGGGGGACCTAGGCTGCAGTGCTATCATGTGGAAAGGTCCCCAAGGCCTGGTGGGCCCTTAAGTCAAAGCCAGGCTGTGCCTGTGGCCTGCCTCGCCCCACGGGCAGAACTCCACACTCTTGGTGTGATTCCCCTGCTCTCTGAGTGGGTCCCT